TATCCTGGTGGATATTTTGGTGTGCAAGTGCCTTGTAATGATCTGCCTCATTTTCCTCCAGGGATGGGCATAAACTTAACAGATAGACCCACTGTTATGCTGGGAGAGCAGCAGCCACAAAGAATGCTTGTCCTGATGGACCTCCAGTGAAAGGGTGCAGTGTTTGCCCACAGGGTGCAGACCCAGTTCTGGTGGAGTCAGCGTGTCCTTTAAAAGGAGCTGGATTTATGTTTCTTATTACTCCTCTGGTATTAAAAAAACCCTAGTATCTTCATTTTACAGGCAAACAGGACAAAGTCTACCCATGGTGAGTGACCCAACGGTTTGATTCAACACTTGCTGAAGTAGATGAGAGTATTTGTACTGTCAGACTTCTTAAAAAGAGGGATAGTAAACAGCCTTTGTTTCTATTTTTATAGGAAACTTACTCCATGTTGCATTTGCTGTGCCTCGTGGCTGAAATGGATCTTTCTCTGAGGACTGAAAAGGGTTATTAATGAACTGATCAGATCCAGGCAGTCCTTCAGCTCACCCAGAGATCACTGGTAACAGGCTGCTCATGGTGAGGCAGGTACCAGGCAGATCCAAGCAGTCACCAAAGGCCATTAGAAAAGTTGGGCATTCCCAACTGCCCAGTAAACCCTTGCTTGCTTGCAACTCCAGCTCCCTGTATTACGACCATGACACCTTCAGCAACAGAAACAGACCCCAGCAAGTAAGATGTCATCAAAGTGTTTTTCCCTTTATAATGGAAAATGGTTGTGGGGGTGAGTTCCCTTTGTCATTCCTTCCTTCCTCCCCCTCCCCTTCCATACCACCTCCTGATGTCTAAGGTATAAAACTATCCCAATCCTGTGGCAGGGTCTCCCCCTCCTCACGCTCCCCCAAGAAAACTGTGCTATCAACCTTCTGGGTGTTACAAATATCCAACACAGGAATGAGTGCTGGATTTGGTGCTCCATCCAGAATATGCACTCCACTAGCTCCTCATGCTTGAATATTTCTGTCCCAGCAGCCCCCCCTGCACCAGCTGCTCACTTTTGCTTTAGCACTGTCACTGCTTCTGAGCAGGAATACTGAATTCCATGCAGGAAGCCGCATACGGGTGCGGGATGTACAAGGAGAGGATGTGAATAAGGGCTGGAATGCTTTCCACGTGCTCATCCCAATTCACGTATTTTATGAATCAGGACTTAGTGCTAATGTTCATCTACGTATCCTTTGCTATGTCAGTGGTGCCTGTGCTCTGATGTCAGCTGCTGGAGTCCAAGCACTGGCAGCTGGTGTCTCTGGCCAGCTCCCAGCCTGATTTTCCTATCAGTCACTTGGGAAAAAAGAGAAAAAAAACAGGTTTCTGACTGTGTATGGCATCGAAACATGAAGGGCTTCAGTCTACAAGGTCATTTAAGCCTTTTCTACACCATGGCACAAGGGAAAGTTCAGATAAATCAAATAGTGGTATGAAGTTAATACTTCTTCACTTGTACTGCATTAAGCTGAAGTGAACTAAGGCCAGTTTAATCCTGAATAAAACTCTCAGCGCAAGAGTTCAATGCCTTCTAGCTTTTGCACATTAACATCACTTCTCCGAACACAGGCTGGTCTGGATATATTTTACCTTGTTCCCAATCTTCTCAATGGTGGAAAACTGCCATAAAGCTAAAAGGCAGTAGTGTTGGGGATAAAGAGATCACTCAGAAAGTGCTCTGATCTGCTTCCTCTTAAAGTATTTTGTGAGCCTTAGTATTTATATCTGCATATTGGGATTATTAGTATCTTCTCTGCCAAAGGGCTTCATGATTTCCAGAGATATCTGGAGAAACTTCTCCTCCTCTGTACCATTTCCTCAGTATGGGCTATGTAGAGCTTACAAAAATACATACAGCTGTTCCAGATGAGCACATTCATGGTGTATCTGGAGGCCTGAGCTTGCGTGTCACAGTTACTGTAGTTTTAAGAGTAAAGGGGTGAAGGAATTCACACCACCCCATATCCCAGCAGCACCAGATGCTCTCCAGACTGACAAGGGAATGAAACAATTGTGACACCTAGTTATGCGTCTGCAATGCATTTAATAAGAACGCTGGGGAATTGCATGTCCCCAGGGCGCATCTCCATCCCAATAGCTGTTTGTCAGTCATCATGCTTATTTTAGCTGGAAATGTTATCATTTGGGTCCTTTTTTCATGATTTTAAAGATTTAGGAAGAGGGCAGTTATTCCAACGGAGCCAGTGGTGCACAAAAAATTCCAGTTACTCAGATGGGACTGATTTATTAGGGAACAGCTCTTGAAGAATGTCAGTATATCTGGACTCAGAATCTCATCCCTCTTTCACATGCTTTTAATAAACCTACAGCTTGGCAGCAAGACATTGAATGAATGCATGCTCCCTCTTGTTGAGAACTCCTAACAACCTCCTCTAGTTCAAAAGATGCGAAGATCAGACCTGCAGGACAGTAAGAAGCCAGGACCACAGCATTTTATTCACTCTCTAGGATGCAAACAAAAGAAACCATAGCAAGTCCCTGCCTGCTGAAATTCCAGGGGCTTGCATTCAATTACAGCAAGGCCGTGAGGCATTTTCAATCTTTGCTTGTATACATCAGCCCTCAGGCGATTGCACTTTAAGTTATTATTAATAATAAAGGATTTATTACCAATACTTCTCATTAATTTCCATGGCAATATTGCCTGAAAGAAGATAGATGACGGGGCTTTGAGTTGTGTAACCAAAGTTCATAACATGAAGGAATGCAATCCAGGAAAAGTGCTCAGATAGTGGGGAGTGACCAACCTTGCATAACCTTCCTAAAGCTCAGCTTCCCTTCACAGCTAGAGAGCTGCATTCCTAATGTTTGCAGAGTATGAAGACAGGCTGAGAAAGCTGGGGCTGTTCAGCCTGGAGAAGAGAAGGCTGCGTGGAGACCTCAGAGCAGCTTCCAGTGTCTGAAGGGGGGCTATAGGGATGCTGGGGAGGGACTCTTCGTTAGGGACTGTAGTGATAGGACAAGGGATAACGGGTTAAAACTTAAACAGGGGAAGTTTAGATTAGATATAAGGAGGAAGTTCTTTACTGTGAGGGTGGTGAGGCACTGGAATGGGTTGCCCAGGGATGTTGTGAATGTTCCATCCCTGGCAGTGTTCAAGGCCAGGTTGGACAGAGCCTTGGGTAACATGGTTTAGTGTGAGGTGTCCCTGCCCATGGCAGGGGGGTTGGAACTGGATGATCTTAAGGTCCTTTCCAACCCAAACTATTCTATGATTCTATGGTTTGCACTTTCAGCCTGTGTCCTCTGGGACAGTCTTCAGCCTTCAGCATGCTTCAGGGCTTTCCTTAAAACATTTCACCCACCCGTTTATTCATTTATATTCCTTCTAATGATGCACTGCTGGAGCTGCCATAAAAGAAGAGGTAAGAGAAATATAAACACTATTAAAAAGAAAAAAACTACAAACATATTCATTTCCTCTTCTGTGTCTATCTTGTTAAGATTATTGTTTCCGTAGAAGCAGGCAGAAACATATCATGACTGATTTACATGTTAAATTATGGACTTTCACTCTATCAATAAACACTGAGTACCTTTAGAAGTCCAAATAAAGCTTTTCTGTTTATACGGCCATTTGGTTCAGTAGAATAGTGGCAGCCAGTGCGAAGTGAAACATTTCTCAGGATCTAAAGAGAGCTGTTATGAGCAAAGAGGAATTTGAGTGGGTGTAAATTCCTTGCTCTTCTATGTTGGTAGGATTATATCTCAGCTTTCAGATCAGGGAAAGGATGTTACAGGCATAATGGCAGGGACTATCAATCAGATAACTAAATCTAATTACAGAGTTACTAGATATAACTAGTTAACATCAGCTACATGAAGGCAACTGGCCAAGTGCCACAGCAGAAACCAGTTTCAGAGAAACAATTCCTGAACACATTAAACAGCTTCTTGTAAGGACTGGTTTCAGATCAGACAACAGCCTGCTCTTGACTAAAAGACACGTAGTTCAGATAGAGAAAGAATTGTAGCTGAATCACTTATTAATAGTAACAACAAATTCAGCTTTCCTAGAGAAAAACTGCACCAAAAGGACAGGATAATGATTCCCAATTGCAGTAGAAGGATTTACTTTCTGAGGGAGTAAGTCAGTAATAAAACATGTTCTGGGTAAATAAATTGCCTTAATAGAGCCATTGAAGGGAACAGCGGCATGGCCCCTAGTTTGCACATCTAAGAGAGTTTGTGATACACTGGTAAGCACAAACCAGTAATTGTGTTTCTTGCTTTTAGTACATCACGGTTAAACCACGCCAGACATGGTCTAAGGCATCTCTTTCAGACATCCCAAACTGCGAAGCACCCCGGGCTGCGTGACTGCAGCCTCAGGAGAGAGGCGACAGGCAGGGTGATGGAGACAGGCTGTGGGCCTTGGGTGTCACTGCCCCAGCCTGCTCACCTCCGAGACCCAGGGACAGGTTCAGCACCTCTGCAGGCGATTAGCCAAAACCAAGGGGGACCTGACGGCTGCCTGCAAGTGCCTGACAGGAGGATGGAGCCAGGAGGGGCTGGGCTCTGCTCCCAAGGAACAAGGGATGGGACAAGAGGAAACGGCCTCAAGCTGCACCAGGGCAGGTTTAGATGGAGCTGAGGAACAATTCCTGCCCCAGAGGGTGCTCAGGCATTGGAACAGGGCAGGGCTGCACTCACCGTCCCTGCAAGTGCTCACACAGCGTGGGGACGAGGCCTCAGTGCCATGGGTTAGGGGTGGCCTTGGCAGGGCTGGGGAACGGCTGGACTGGATGAGCTTAAAGGGCTTTTCCAACATAAATGGTTCCATGATTACTAAAGGGCTTAGCACCAAAGCGGGGCTCACAGGAAGGGCGGGTGAAGGGAAGCGGCACAAAGCGCAGCGCTACGGGCGCCATGCTGAGTGTGTATGTGAGGAACACTCCACCTCACACCAACCCGCACCGCCATGGCGCCTGCGCAGGCGGCGCGGCTCCGCGCACGCGCACTGCGGACCCGGCGGCCAAGCCCCGCCCCGTCACTAGTAACAACGGGCGGCGGCGGCGGCGCCCGTTCCCCTCCCCTGCCGGAACCGGCGCTGCCCCGCGTCGGCATGAGGCCAGAGCGCGGCCGGCCGTCGCGGCGGGAGGCGGTAAGGGTCACTGCGCCGGTCCTGCACCCCGCTTTCCCCTTCCATGTGCCTCGCCCCTTCCCTTCAGCCGTCGCCAAGTTTCCCGCCGGTTCCCCTCAGCGTTAGCGCGGCCGGGCCGGGCCCCCGCGGGGACCCCCGAGGAGCGGGCGGCGCTCCCTGTGTGGTGGTGAGGTGAGGTGAGGCGAGGGGTGGGGGGTAACGGCCGCCGGGCTCCCACCGCTCGGTCGGGCCGCGCTGTCCGGGCTGTCACAGGTGCCCGCCGGGCCCCGGCTCCTCCCGGAGCACCGGCCGGGCCCGGGGTGGGGAGGACACCCTCACGGCGGGCGGGGGCCGCGCTGCGCTGGTCCCCACGGGGAGTGAAGCGCTGAGCTGCTGCTTTGTTGTGTAACCCTTCTTCTGTAGGGGTTTGCGGCTTTTTTTGCTGATTCAGGTGTTATTTGTCGAAAGGCGGGGTCGTCACGGGTGAATTCCGCTCTTGTCGAGGATGTCGGGTGAACTTTCTTGTGACTCTTGGATTTACTGTTGCCCGCTTCCCGGGGCTGGGGAGCTGCCGTTGCCCATCTGCCGCACTCCGTAGCCGGAGCTGATAGCGCTCTCCAGAAGCGCTGTAGATAATGTGAGGAAGCAGTAAAAAGAATTAAAAGTAACGCTTAAAGTACTGAAATAAACGCATTCCTCACTGAAGTGAGCCTGGCTAGCAGCCCGGGGTTCATCTGCCAGTGCTGATGCCAGCGTTTTTCAATAAACGTAATTGCATTCAGGAGGGTTTGGGTCACTTTGCTGGGGAAAGCAGACACAAAGCCTTTGGAGTAACTCCGGGCCGTTTTGCTAGTGATTTTTTTCTGAGTACATGTTGGAATGTTTGTAGTTCCTCTAAGTTTTTCTCTCCAGCGAGCTCTTCTATTTCAAAAGTCCCATTGATTTGGAAATGAGAAAGGAATGTATTATATCAGTGTGCTGTAGTGATCTATTTCTTTCATTCTTTTGGAAACAAGGGGGTTTAACACTTGTTTAATGCTTTAACCTCCTTTTTTTTTTTTTTTTTAAAACATCCCAATTCAGAATGCTCTATAAGCAAACAGCCCCCTTTCCATGCTGGGGGACTGGGCAATGCTTTTCTGCCTTCAGCTGGGATGTGTCAATGTTTGTTTCTCAGCAGCAGCACAGGAAGTCTCACCATCCTGATGAGGAGTCATAAAGTGTGTTGAAGATCTGTTACTAAAACTGGACTGAAAGTGTGCTAATTTTGTGTTGCCTTTGGAAGAAATGATAAGTCAATTCTGACAAAAATATATGCAGCTCTTTAGGGCCTCATTGCATCTTCAAAAGGAAAAAGTCAAGGACTTGTGAAGGATTTCCTGTAGAATTGCTAGCAGGGGATCACGCACAGGATAATTTTAAGAGAAGATTGAAAACGGCTTCCTGCATTTGACAGATGGCTTTAAAAATTTCTTTTTCAGGTTTGAGTTGAGCTTACTAACCGCAGCAATGGTGCAGAAGTACCAATCCCCCGTGCGGGTGTATAAACACCCTTTTGAGCTAATTATGGCTGTAAGTATTAATTTTTACTGTCATTTTCTTCCTTGGCAGTTCCTTGTATTGCAAAGTACAGTTGGAAAGGGCTCTGTTTGATAGGTGCTGTAAAATAGAAATCTGATACAATATGTAAAATACCAGATGTTGATGGTTTCTTCTTTAACTGGAGTATTTTTTTAACCAAAGTTTAGATATAGCTTATAGATTTATTTTAAAGTTAAAGCAAAAGCAGGTTTGAAGCTTACTTCCCAGCTGATTACTGGGAGCAATCTATTCCAGCATGGGAGAAAGTGTCAACTACGTTGATTATAAAGATTGGTGTGGTTGTGTCCTCATCAGAACAGAGTTCACAGGACTGCAGAGCACAAAGCCGTGAAAGCAACGATGAGCCTAAATGAAAGAGGAGAAAGCATTCAGACCATTGCTAATACTTTGGGGTAGGGGTGGAAAAGATTGATAGGGAGGTCAGAGAGATGAATGGTAAGCCTTTTGGGGGCATGGTTGCTAATTTGTGTGCTAGTGTTACAAATGCTAACAAAGAACCAAAATCCTAATCAGGTTCCCTCTTCTTTCTCTCTCTCTTCCCCTCTCTTTTTTCTTTTAGAAAACAGAAAGGAAGTGTATTTGACATTTTAAGGTATATCCAGCCAAAGCCACAGCTGTGTGGCTCTCATGAGTTACAAAGAGCTGTTAGGGAGAGCAGCCAGGTTACATTCTACCTGATAAAAATAGTTAAAACTAAATAAGAATCTAAACAGAAGTTGTTTTGTTTCACTTGCTGGAAATACTATGTTTACTGCTTCAGAAGAGAGTTTTAATAGTGTTCATAGTGTAAATATTTAGATAGATCACAGTTTGGAGTGCAGAGTTCCTTACAGAAGTGATCCTTTGCAGTCACAGGGCAAAAAAGGGTTAGGTCACTCTAGAGGGAATACTTCAATTTCTTTTTGTCTTATTCCTAAAGCTGCCTCCTGTATTACACATGCAGTTCTTACTCTTATGAGCACTTCAGGGCAGAGAGTGTTTATTTTCATGAGTGGTGAAGAATCTATGATATGTTTAAGCTCTTTTAGGACCTTGCTACAGCCTGACAGCTAGGCTTCAAATGGTTTCTAATTTAAATTTGTTTGTGTATAATTCAGTGAAGTATGCTGGTTCTTGTTCTTGGATCAGTCAACCAAAATGAGTTTCTTGGACAAAATTCTCTGGCTGTTTGCTGAACCGACGAATCTTTAACTTAATGTTGAATCGAAGGCAAAAATTATTCTTTTAAGTTACTTCAAGGGCATTTTGAGTCAACATGCTGATATTAGGGTTTTTCACAATGAGTCTAATTAGAAAAACTTTTGGCTATTAATATTAACTTAGTTCTCAAACTGTTCTGTATCTTGGGGATAACAGTTGAAGAATAAACTTTAACAAATATTGATTTTTTTTCCTTACATGAAAGCTTTTATTCTTGGGAAGGAAAGAGGCTATACTACATATGTAACTAGGATAAAATAATAGTTAAGAAATAAAACAATGAACTAAGAGAAGAAGCATATTTATAAAAAGGAGCTGAACAGGATGCTTTCTGAGACTAGAAGTTTAGATTAGTGATCATACATATGACTTACTTCACCTGCTAGGGCAGCACATTGTCACTTGAACTTGTTCAGGATGTGGTCAGTGGATGAACATCTTTCTCCTGCATGCTGCTGCTGTTACTGGCTTTTAAAGGATGCAAGATTCCTGGTGATGGTCTATCAAAACTGTTCATGCATTTTCCAAAGCATGCAGAGGAGTCCATCCAGGAGCTGAATTCTTTAAAAAATATAAATAGTATATGATAGTTTAATGCTTTTTGTTACTGTTTTCCCTTGGTTGAGTAGTGATTGCATAAGTGGAAGTATTTCTGGAAGGACTATTTGTGTCAAATTTTGTGCTTGCTAAAGCGGAAGTACTATGTTGCATATTCTCGGCACGAAAGTGCTATAAATGTTATTTTAACAGTGCCAGCAGCTTTTCTGAAACGAACACATCCCTGTGTATATCAAGCTTGAATTTCAAGTACCTAACAAATGGCTTTAACCATATGGTGGTTTATTTGATTTTTCTCTATCCCTCTCTTCTGTTTGCACCCAACCTTTGAAAGAATGTGTCCTCAAATAGAGGCTTAAACCCATATACCAGAGATGCTCAGCTGTCATTAAAAAGCCTTTCAAAGAAACCTCTGGTCAATGTGTCAGCAATGTTCTTTATACTGAGCTATCTAACAAAAATCAGTGTTTCTAGCATGGCTCTTGTTGTGTGGGATCTCATCTTTGTCTGAAGGTTGTTGAGTACTTCTAAAGATTCTATTTGGAAAGTCATCCTCCCTTAGAGTCCCTCAGGAGCTAAAGGGATAATTCATTCTATAGAGAGTAATGATCACTAGTGTCAGTGAAGCTCATGTGGACTGTAAAGAGTTCCTGGATGATACATATTCCAGTTACAAATTGGAGCTCGTTAAGTCAAACTAATATTTAGCTTTCAGATAGAGGAATCAGCATAAAACTCTTCTATAAGCAGCCAAGTGAATGCCACTTGCAGAGTGGGTCATTTACACTACAAACTTCCTATTTGCCCACTTTTCCTGGGTTTCAAAGAGGTACTTGTCGGAGAATAAAGTACAATCAGCATTCCATTCATGCTGTTCTGGTGTGTTTTGAGAGGACTTTGTTCTCTCTGAAGGGTGAGTGCAGCTATATTAAGACCAAAAAATGGTTTTAATTCCACTTTGATCTAAACCAAGATTGACAAGTGTTTTGCAGGCAATTATGATATAAACTTTTAAAATAGACACAGTGAAAATTCTTGTTCTAAGTTGGTGTTGAAAATAAATTTTTCTTATCTCCGTCACTGAAATCCAAAAATTGTCTGTTGAGCCCTAATGTATCTCTCTGACAGCATACTTCAAGGCACAGCTCCTTATCTCTCAAATCTGCAACAGAATTGAAGTTCTGCTGTTGGTAGAGAGTTGGGAGATCTGTTGCTGCATGCTTCTTGCCTTCCTTCATCGTTAAAGGCAAGCCACATGACATTTAATATAAGCTACTTCCCTTGAAGATTTCCTTTTACTGGCAAATTGTTTGGTTCCAGATAATATCTAAGTTACTTTAAAAGCAGTAAGAACTGGATGCAGATCTTCTAATGAAACTATCTCTTAAACTTGAAAAAATTCTAGAATCATAGGCTAGAAATTATCACATCTTGTCTGACACACCTAACACAGGCAATACGATTTCACCAAATGGGTACCAGTGCTGACACGATGAATTTTGGCTGCTCTGTGGCTCATCTGTCATAAACTACTTCTAGAAAACTCTCCATATGTGTGTGTATAGATATATACATATTTTAAAATCAAAATCCCAACAACTTGCACAGTTGTTCATCAGAGTGAACAGAACCTTGCCTCCTTTTTCCTCCTGTTCATGTTGAAGTTTACGTAATGCTGGAAGCAGCTCAAATGTGGAAAAATGACTGTTTACTTAGACTCACTTGTCAAGTTACCAAGGTTAAATGTATTGGAGAAAAACCTGAGAGGCTGCTTTTATAAATCTTTTCAAGATTATCGATTCAATTTTTTATACTGGCTTAAAGAGGCTTACATTTAAATGAATATGAGGTCTTTGCTGAGTAAGTGGTTCTTAATTTTAAAAGGCAGATTAAAAACTTGAATCTATCTTAACGCACACTAGGCTAAAATTAACTTTGGAGGTTCACAGTTCATTTTCAGTCTGGCATGCACTGGGTAATTCCCCTGGAGTTTAATTTCCAAAGTAAATTTAAATAATGAATAATCAGCTACTATGGCGTTCCAAGGGTGGAATTATCACTGACCAGAGGAGATTTTATTTTACTTAATTTCTGGAAGTTCTGTGGCAAGTACATTTCTCTTCAGCTAGTTTAGAAAATGTCCTATTATAGCCGCAAATTACTTGGTTTCAGAAAGAAATATAACAGTAATGTGAATGAACACAGCAAGTGTGCTCTAAATGTGTCCTGCTGCATTTAGTCAAATTTACAGAGATTTTTAAGGCCTCATGGCTTTGTGAAAGCTAAAATTTTTCCACTCTGCCTGTGACAGGAGACAGACTTCCAAGGGTATTTTGCAGGCTTCTGAATACCTAAAATAGGGTTTCCACTTTAATAAAGTTGCTGGCATCTGTCAGCTTCCACTGGTGCCAAACAATGTAGGTAAAGTAGCCATCAATGTCAGGAGCTTGCAGTTGTGGAAATAACACGTTTCATTTTGATTTTAAAATCAAAATTGCAATTAATCTTGCACTGCCTTGGGGCTGAAAATTGCCTCCTTCTGAACTATATGTTCTCCTCATAATCCTTTAAAAATGGTCTCACATTTTTCCTTTGTTCTGATAGAATATCTAGAGCATGAATCTTAATAAGTATGATGTGTAGTGCCGTTTTGATTAGATTTAATGACTCAAATTTGATGCTTTTGGATAAGGGGCTGACTGCTTTTCTTTGGTTTTACAGATCTGAAAAAAGTGTGTTTAAGGCAAATCTTCATGATTTAAAGTATCCTTAAATTACAGGAAAGGAATAATATTGTATATGGCATAAATAGGCTTCAGTGATAGATTAGATTAGAAAAAAGAAATTGTATTTTTTCTTTTAGATCTACAAATCAAACTATAATCCCTTGATCTAGATTAGGGATGAGTTTCCTGATCGGGCAGTACATAATCTTTTAATTTTAAAGGTTATTACTTTAAAATGTCATTTTAAAAAGAATAACTGTATCAAGTTAAGTGCCAAATCTGCTCATAGAGCCCTACAATTTTTGTTCTTTCTAGTCTTTTTTTTTTTTTCCTTGGAAAAACTGCATTCAGCAAACCATGTGAAGGGGCTGAGAGGCTGAGGAACCAAAGGAAGCCATTCTCCAGGTGCTTTTGAAAGCACAAAGTGGGCTTTAAGTGTGTAGAGGATTTATTCCCCTGATGTGGTGCACCTTCTTGAGGCTTTAT